CACAGCCCTCTTCTCTTCAAGTGTCACTGAAGATTTTCCAGTAAATTTTGATGGCTGGCCTGCGCAGCTGTTTGATTTGATTGCTGTCATTTGTCCATTTGCTTTCTCTCTCCTCACTCTTCCTCATCAACTTCCCTTTCACTGAGTTACAAGGAGCCGGTGTAGGGATTTTAGATCTGGGGCGATCTATCATCCTGGTTTTTCAGAACATGAGTTGCAGCATTTTAAGTTTGTCTGACAGATTTTTTTAGGTGGATTTGAGAAGTCACTATTGCAATATCCGATTAAATGTTTCTTCAGGTCTTGCTAAGACATTAGTTCTTGAACCTTCAAAATGTTTTTCAAGTGACGGAAGACTGACTTTGCAACTGTTTTCAGGTCTGAACCGTCAGACTTGTTTCAATTCCTTGACCAATCTTTACCCACAGATCTTGGCTATTAAATCCAAACTATTAAAAAAATAAATTAATATGGGAGATCTATACATACCATCAAGCTAATACAAATAAAAACTGGCCATTATTTATGTGTGGCAAGTACAAACAAGCTATTGTGTCTGTAATTAGGCAATTAAAACTCAAATGTTTTCAGGATTTGGATCAACAAATCAATGCTGCTGAAGGTTGACTTAATTTTTCTGTTAAAGTATTTTTTTTTTATCCAGTCAGTGCTAAATCAGGTTCTGGGTGAATTACACTAATATGACTAATGACTAAGAGAGTATACAAACCAAAATAAATAATTCAACCTAATCAATAAAAACATTTAGAATGTTGCCCTTTAAAAGAAGGGATTGCATTTTTTACACAGTTGAAATATACCATTCTTGCTTGGCATATTTTGCATAGCTGAGTTTCATAGCTATGATAGATATTTCAGTTCTTGACCAGAGAAGAGAAAACATACTTTAATCCAACACCACAGAGGAAATCAGACGTGATTCGAGGTGGAGCATTCCATTCTTTTGTATTATGTTTCTTTATAATGTTAAAAAAAATACATCTCATGTACTTGCTATTCACACATTAATCTATGAACCTGCTAAGATATGTGACATAGTTAGATAGTTCTGCTCTTTTGCCTGTGCTAAATAGCACATCTTAAAATAAGAGTGTGTACCGCACATGTAGGTGAGAAAATTCCAGGATGCATCCATGGCACTCTTTAGGGGCACTAGTAAATGATTACAGACATTTAACAGATGTCCAAAAAGCTTCAGTAGAAAAGCAAAATCAAGTTGAAGTGCACCATTAACATTCGACTTTAAAATGTTTTGGATGTTAAAGTCAAATAAGTAGCCAACAAGTTCTGGCATACTGCCATCTGTTAACAGACAGGTCTACAGCGGAGCAGTGCTTGCGGAATGCCAAACATTTGTTTCATTTGCAAAAGAAAAGAAAAAAAAAAAGAGTGCTGACTTTTCTCCCTTTCCTACATTCTTAGCTCCCCTGAAGGAGCTCTCTCAGCCACCTGTGCATATTCAGCATAGCAAAGGAGAGCAAGAGTAATGTAGTGGAGGAATGTCATCCTGCAGAGCAGCCACTCAATAAAAAGGGAGTGTGAAGAATGTGCTTTTGCAAACACAGGATATTACTGTACATGTGTTTAACATAACCTGTTGTCAAAAGCTGCACCGGCCAACCGCAACAGCTTGTCGAATCTTAAACCACTGTAATTTTCCACTTCTTTAAGATGATCTGGGTAAATCAGATATATGTGCCTAGAGCTCTGTGAATTTGTTGAATTTGCTCCAGTAGCCAGACTGTCTTGCATGCTGTCAATTATTGTGCTGCTTTGCTAAATATAAACTAGGTAGATAATAATGCAGGGAATAAGTATTAACCACATTTATGGGGGTTTTTTTCCAGTAAAAAATACAGCAACAGTTATGTGGCATACAAAGAAATCTATGAAAAGCACTAACCCCTTGAGTACTTTTTGTAGGAATTGTAAACAAACTACTTCATTTGTTTGCAAATGAAGTAGAATAAAACATTAAAAAAAGCTACTGAAAACAGGACAAAATAAGGTACTTAAAGCCTCATTAAAGTAAAAACACAAACTTGTGTGTGTGTTTGTGTGTTTGTGCATACTTTTAAATACAAATGAAATTTTTCCCCATTCTTGGAACCAGAGATGGCTGTGGAGGTCAAGTGTGTCTGCTTGGTGAGGGTGTGCAAATATACAGTGTATGGAGGTCTGTTGGAATAAAGGCCAACAAAGACCAACTGAAGGCCAACAGCCAGATCACATGACAATGTCTGGTCCATTGCTATTATTTCTCTACCCTTTTCATAGTCCCATGACCGTCTTTCATATAATTGTTCCAGTCTGAAGGACACTCTCATTTTAGATGACTTGGAAGGAAGCATAAGTCTCCATTGTGATTAATACGATAATCTTTTCTCTTTGATTCTACTCTGACTGGCAGCCATACAGAACTTTAACAATTTTGTGATTATTAGAGGCCTGAGGCAACCTTTTATCCGATTCCAAGGTTGGTTAATCATTTTTGGAGCGGTCTGGCTGTAGAAGTGCCATAGTCCCCATTTCTGGAGGCTTGGCCCCCCGAGGCACTCCTAAGCTGTAATTAGGCCCAAGTGGAGGGGGAGTGAGCAGCTATAGTGGAACTTCCAGCACCCAGCCGGATTGGGCTGAAAGTGGCGCCACTCTTTTTGTGCCTTGAATCCTCCCTCCATTCATCCAATTTACTATAGTTCCTGTTAGACTCATATCAACATTTCAGGAATTTACACATATGCTTTGTTGCGAGTCTGCATAACTATCTTCATTTTGCTATGAAATACAATAAAACAAACATCACATAAAAACTGCCGATATTGATCAAATATAATGTATGATTCTATTCATGTTTGATTTATCACTTTAATCCCTTCAAACATTTGAAGAAGTAAAACATAAAATGAAATATGGGACACTTTTATGCAGTTCTCTACAGTCATGTATGTTTTTTTTTCTTCACATAAAGTGATGTATGTTTTTGACATGCAAGCAAAAAATAACACATTTTGAAAGAAGACATCTGTTTTGCAGATGCAGGCCTCGCTGTGGTTCATCCGTCTTGTAAGTGATGGTGATCTGTGTTTCGTTGCCGAAGTGGTGGAGAACAGACAGAAGTTAATCACAGTTGCTGCACTATAACCTGGTGCAGGCAGTCACAAATGTTTTGTCGTTCTTTAAAGGAATGAGTAATCTTTAACTTCACCCAGCATTTAAAGGCTGCCCTTTAGCACAAAAACCATAAACCTTAGGTCCAGTACTCTGTTAAGCATTTAGGGATTTTATTTGCTTCCATAATGGCTTCAGAAACTTAGTTAACCTCCGCATCCCTCTGTATCCATTAATGTACAATTATTTTTCCCCTTGGAAGGGGTCTGTAGATTCTATTACTCCCTTTTACACGATTACTATGCAATATCCCCATTGGGACACATCCACAGCCACAGTGGGGAAACACCAGGCCTGAGACTAATGAACTACGGTAAGTCTTATTGTATCCTCTGTTTAGTGGCTCACATCTTTATGCTCAAAAACCCAATATTATACAACTTCTATTGATTTCAGAAATGGCCTAGCTGTCATCTTCTATCCCTGTATTTTTATTTGCACAAAACCAAGCAGAGAGACCTCATTTTCTGCTTCTATCTCAGCATAAACGTTCTATTTTTGTCTACCACCTTTTGTTCTGCTTCAATTAGGAGCTATTAGCCCTGACCTTTTAATTGCCCTCAAAAGGGCTTGCATAGCTCAATGCATGAGGAATCACAATGGATGCTCTCAGCCCAATAAACAGGATCCCTAACCTCCATATTGAGGCCAATATAAAACTTGGACAGACTGGTGAAAAGCTGGGAAGTTAATTGTAAAGTTGTTGTGACCAGTATGCTGTATGTGGCAGTCTCCATTAATGTCACTTAGAGGGCTTTTGCTAAGTCAGTATTCTCCTCATAATAGATGTCATGAAACTGTACACTACCTTTTCAGTGATTATGTTCGTTAACTTCCTCTTTTTATCCGATACTAACATTTCTTTTATGGTACTGAGTGTTTATTTCCAGTGCCAAATTTCAGATAGACGAGCAACTACTTGAGTTGGTGTCAAATTTTATTACTATAGTCACTTTTTGACCAATTACTTTTGAATCAAACATTCAGCATTTTCACAACAACTGAAGGTAATATAGTTACTTGATTTTAGTATAAAATGACAGACACTATGTGCCTGGAAAAAACACTGTTAAGTGAAAGGGGTTGAAAACGTTCCCATACAAACCACACCTTAACATAAATATATTTCTCTTCTTTACAATTGTGCACCACTTTTTGTTAACTCTTTTACATTAAATGCCAAGTGTTTTTAATGTTGCATATGGGACTCACTGTGTCTCTTATGGCTTGTACACACTGGTATCTGTAGAGTGCAACACTTCTGACATGTTCTTCTTTGCTCAAATGGTGTTATTTATCATTCTGGACTTTCCCCACCTACTTTCATTTTAAGACCACATTACTCTAAATAACAGGACGATGGGCTTCGAGTTCTCTGCAGTCACCACACCACACCTGGGCCTAAACATCCTCCCAGCCCTCCCCGGGAATTCTTTCACCACCTGCAGAGAGGCATGAGTGAGGGAGGTGGGAGGAAGGAAAGTCCACCCTTTTAGAGCTTTTCCACTCTTGAAGGTAGACTGCAATTTAATCCTTCCATAGCATTTTTAAAGCGACCTGTCCTGTATGGGCTTGTGCAAAAGGTAGGACCCATATTTCACTGCACTTCTGACAGATGCTTTGGATAAGTGCATGTCATCTAATGTAGTACAATTGTACATCTGTAAACCTCTTTAAAAGATGTGAAGGTTAAGGTCAGTGAGTAATAATCAGAAGCTGATTTCAACATGAAGAGGTACCTATAAAGTCCCTTTTCTCCTCAATGGCTCTGCTTATTCAGGTCTTGTAGCTGAATAAGCAGTGTCCTCTGCTGGCAGCAAAGATCATTTATTTCCAGTTATAATGTGACAATAGAACTTTTTTACAGTAGGCAACAAGGTTCATCTCAGCAGGAAAACATGTAAAATAGAAGACCTCAAATGAACATTCTTGATACCAACACTTTAACAGAACAGGAAGAATATTCCACATCTAAGAATGTTTTAGCTGTCTTGTCAGTTTTGCCTCATATTGTACTCAAGCTCATCCTTTTGTTTGGCTGATCTCAGCAAAAGAAGTCAATCACTGTTTGGTTTTTCTTTTTGTGTCGATGGATACATGCTTTAAACTTTGATTGGCAATGCTGTCATTTGCAACTCTCTTTTGAATAACTTTCTCTCTCACATGCAATCACATTTCTGCAGTTCAACTTGAAAAATTAACCCTTGGGCTACACCAATTTTTTCTAGCGTTTTGCTCATTTGAAGGCCAAAAAATAAGAAAGCCAAGGAAAAGAAATAAAGTAATGAAGCAAAACTGCCTTTATCCATCTCTATTCTCTTATTCAATTAACAAAACAAAAACAACCTATATTCTGTACCATTGCTCATTAGCCTTGAACAGGTTCTGTGTCTACCTTGCAACTGATTTTGCTAAAGAATGGTCTCTCTTAAAACAGAAAAAAAAAATTCAGTGTTTATTTACATAACACATCAAAGGACATGATATCAATACAAAAAGATGTACACATATAACACATTATATGCACAGGCATTATAAAATAAGCATGAGGTACATGTTCATATAGAGTTACATATATGTCAACATTTGATCTTAAGTTCATACTATAATACCTTTGATCTGAATCTCAAAAGTCTCGCACTTAAAACCAAATATGTACATATGCTGTATAAAATAACTACCTTTTTTTTTACTTGCTGACATTATGTGAGTCCAGTCATTTCCCAGTTTATTTCGGTTTGACAAATGCTAGAATATATTGAGAAATAAAATACTTTCCTCAAATTCAGACGCTTACATACAGTTTTATAGGGTTTGGCAACAGTGTCCTTTGAAATGTACAGCTTGATTTTGAGAACCTCTATGCCCTTCTTATTTAATTTGACAAAATACTTTGGCTCATTGTCCTTTTGGAAGATCAATTTGTGCTCAAACTTTAACTTCCCTGTGGACGTCCTGAGATGTTGCTTCAATATTTCCACAATACATTCTTTCATGATACTTTTAATCTTGTGAAGAGCAGAAGCCCTTCCAGCAGCAAATCAGCCACAGAGCATGATCCTGCCACCTCCCTACATATCAGCTGTTGATGGCACATGCAAAATTCTCACTTCGACCTTATAAATGTAACAATGGTAAATGTTACAAACACTCCTATTTTGACACATGTTGTCATATATGTCTCTGATGGGAGACATATATGATGGGAGCCTCATGGCTTTAGTACTCACCTATTTTTTGAAGAACTAAAAATGTCAAACTTCGGGCCTCTATACAAATGTTGTTAACTGACTTATAAGAAACTTACAAAGCTGGGAGATTATCATCATTTGGGCTTTCCCAAATAGTTTATAAACATGGTAGTCTTGAAGTATTTAAACATATGTATCTGAAGAAAGTAGGAAAATCTTATCTAAAACAAATTTTAATATTCTGGCATTAAACAAATAGAAATAACTGAATTATCCATACTGACCTAACACAAGAAAACATTAGCTTGATTTAATGTTAGACAATGAGGAAAAACAGCTTCTTATGCAGTGCAGGAAAGTATCAGGTTTCATGGAAAATCCATGCAATAATACCAACAATCTTGTTGTGACTGTGGGTCCCTGTCTGGATTCAAATGATTATCCAAAGCAAAGAAGGTACATGAAAACTGTAAACTGTAAAACAGCGGAAACCCTGACTTCCTTTAAATCTCAACTAAAAACACACCTGTTTAGAATTGTATTTGAAATGTAATATGTAACAATGTATTGTTTATTCTATGTTGCATGACTTTGTGTTTATGATGTAAAGCACTTTGAAATGCCTTGCTGCTGAAATGTGCTACACAAATAAAATTTGATTTGATTTAGATTTTTGAAAACAGCCACTATCTCTAATACAACAGGCTTGGATAGTTAAAAGTAATTTTTGCCCCCAAGCACAGGTGCATGGTGACTAAGTACGCTTCCAACACTGAACTATATATTTAATTCATTTTAGTTAAAGGTTAAAGTCTCCTCTACTGATCTTCTTGCCCCCACATTCAATAGCCTGTTTCCTTTTTAAGTCAGAAAGACCTCAAATAGACTACAAGACTGTTTCTGGCCATAGTATTCCAGCAAAGAACAAAAAAAATTAAAGCTGGAAATCTTGGTATCTGATTTTGATAGGCAACAATCATCTTTTATAAAATAGCAATATTGTCTTTTAATGAGTTTTTGCATGTATTATATATATGCATATATATAATACATAATATATACATATATATATATATATTATTTTTTAAGGTTTAGATGAAACAGCATCGTACATTGCCTATAAATTTAATACAAAAACACATAAAATCCCTAAAAAATATATATCCAAATGGTCATGTTCTACTATATCTTATGACAAAAAAAAGACCATAACACTTTAAAAAAGACACTCCAATACAACTCATGCATACTGTACTCAAAAAAAGAAATACACATTGCATAGGTAAAATATTACAATATAAAATAAACATAGCTAGCTCCAAACATACATATTTTCCCCATTTGTTACTCTGTTTTTCAGATATTCAAAGTTCAAACTGAGATACTCAGATATAGTAAAAGATATGCTTGTGCGTTCCCTACAAAGTAATGTTTGTTAATTGCTTGGACTAAGTCAGTTTGGAATTAACTTGTAAGTAAAAATATGAATTTAAAAAGCACATTGCTCCAACCACATATTTATGTTGTCACACATCTAAAAGGCATATTTTCTCATTATGCAAACTTGCTGAGAAAAATCACCCTCTACGTCAAGCAATATTTGTCCCATAAGAGAACAGAAAATTCTAGAGAGCTAACTAGAGATTCTTAACACTCTGATCAACAGTGAAGAGTAAAGGAGTCATTAAGTTAAATTTTCAAGGAAGCTGAAAAACTAACAAAAACTCTCTTGTTTCTTAACATAGAATTTTATTTGTCTAAGTTAAATAAATGTACTTGGGGAAGAAGAGAGAAAACTTTAGAAAATGATCAGTCTTAGATTATGTTGATGCAATATAAGCTTAATTTCTTTTCAGGCTTTGTACATTCTAATCACCTGTGTTCATAAATGTGAAAGATGTTGATTATTTAATAATAATTTATAACAGTACAGGACACTAGAATTATCAATGTATAGAAATAACAATACTTTAAGGATCTTGAGCTGGCTTAAATTTCAATTAGAAATAAACAAAAAAGAATCTGTTTTCATTTTTGAAACATCTCACTGTTTTTCTACTAATGGTATAACCAGTGAGTATTTCAGCAACACTCAGTAAATATCCATTTAACATCCACAGTCAGAGTCTATTTCATTAGCAGTTCCTGTTTTTAGGAACTCCGTATCCTCAGTCTTTTGGTTGCTGCGTCTGGCTTCAGTAAACATTTTTCCAGGTGATCAGCTCTGCCCTACTTACTCCTTTGTGAGCCAATCATCACTTTAGAGACAAAGTTCACAATGGCACTTGCTGGCTGTTCGGGGTCATGTTCTGCAAATAGGTGGCACACATTGTCCATGGAAGTGCCAGTTTTCCTTGCCACAAAGCCAAAGATTCTGCAAAGGCAAAAGATAGTAGTTAAGAGCTGCAGTGTCATCTACCACAAAATGAACATTAAAAAAAAATAAAATAACTGCAGGTACATGATTTTGACCGGAGCTGTGAAGAAATAGGAAGTACTTCTTACTTTGCTGATGGAAATCCATCTTTCTTCCACCTTTATGGAGTAATGACATGGAATCAGTAAGTATTAAAAATAAATGTGGTAAACTAATATTTATATTTAATTTATGAATCAATGAACACAACTTACTTTCTATCTTGAGGGTCCAAAGCACAAAATATCACGGTGTTGACATTGTAATGTCTCCTGAAAAAGAGTCTGAAAAACAGATTTATATTGAAAAATCATGGACGTATCCGTGTGGCAGCAGTTTTTAAAAAGTGTGTGCTGGGCGCTCACTTCCTCTGGTTATCCGTTAGAGTAATTCCCTGGGAGGAAACTTTGAAATGGACCACAGTGGGGATTGGTGGAGAGTCAGCGTCCAGGGTCATGGTCGTGGCTTTCTGCACTGCCTGGACTCCTGTTAGAGACTCCATCTCCACAGAGCTCAGGTACCACACATTACAAGCTGAAGCAACAACAAACAATCAAAGTTGCATGGAGCAAATAACAATACAGTCAGTGCTCTCTGTAATTCAGTGCTTGAAATAACTAAAAAGCAGGACATAAACACAGAGATTGTGTCATTGCATTACAGTCTGGTTTTAATGTGTTTGTCACAAAGTCTGTTTATGGTGAATGATCTAAGAAGTCTGATTACCTGCTCCCTGTTTCAGCAGCTCAGTAGCTGAGTTAGTGACTGAATGTGAAATGGTCTCCACAACATCTTCAAGAGGATCTTATAAACAGCAAAAACAAAGAACATAAGTAACACAGCTTTATTATCAAGTATGGTTATGGAATGATTCCAACAATCTCTTATCGACTAGAACTAATTTTTTACATTAAATTGTAACCATACCTCTACCCATGCAAAAAATTTAGAGTCTCTGTGTGAATGTTTACCTTTGTCAGGTATTATAAGTTTACAGGGAAGAGCCAGTGGGGTGATCGAATGTTGGTAAACCAATGCTGTTAAGCTTCCTGTAAAACAACAGAGTGGGAAAACAACATTTAAATTTACAGAGAAGTTGCACTGCCAACTTTGTTGTACAAGTCATTATTAAAATAGCTGCACTGCAGATAGACTGTTAATTTATTTGTTGAATGTTATTGCCTTTTTATCTGTGTCTCTCTTGAAAAAGAGATGTGATTGCCAATAAGACAATTACAGTATTTTCTAAGAGAAGGTAACAAAAAAAGCAAAAGTAGAAAATAAAATGTTCCAAGTGAAATGAGGAATTTATCTAACTGGCATCATTTAATATCCACAAACCTATAGATAATGCAGAGTTCATAATAATGCAGTTCAAATAAAAGTAAGAAAAACAATTACAAAATTTTAAAGATAATTTTTAAAATCAAAATCTATAAATTTTAAAGAGAAACAAATATATTGAACAAATAATTAAATACATCAGTATTTAAATGTTTGTTTAAACACTGGTTAGTTTATAGCACTTTTGGTTTTGGACATCCATTTTAAAAAAAATTACAGAGACAGGGAATGCCATTTCGATCACTTGTACCATGGAGCACACACCAATAGAGGGCAGTGTTGTTCAGAGACTCCCTAGTTTTATATATTGTCGAGAAAAGCATTTAAATCATGTTTCAGCAGCATAGACACTCACCAAAGTAGGGCTCATTTGGGCACCCCTTCAGACGCACGCCTTTCTGTGTGCACTCAATCAGGAAGTGGCGCACCAATTCGTTGGACAGATCACCTCCTGTAGGGAAAGGGACACAAGTAGTTAATACAATTAGTCTGCTTTGTTGGTCTGTCTCATATACTGAATTTTTGTCCATGCAAGAACCTTTTCTCTCTAAAAAATCTTGAAATATAAATCATTAAAAGCATTTCTGTCTCAATGTGAGGTGTCTTTGAAAGGCATATGAACACAAAGGCTTCTTGGAGCAGCTTGGATTTCACATTTCTGAAAACTAATGTTGGTCCAAAATCAAACAGGACTCTGGACTATATCACAATGTGATGGAAAAGAAAAGGACAAGTGTGAGCAGTGGAGAAAATTGGAGGGACCAAATGAAGATTTAATCTGGTATGAGGGTATAAAATAAAAATCCAGTGTAGATTTTTTTAAAATTAGGTCTCTTTTTTATTAGGTGTCTTTCCATGAAAACGTTTATGACATACAAAGTCACTACCATGACCTACACTATATGGAGTTGATTTTATATATTCACTCCTCCATTTGATTCAATGTTTAACATCTTTGATTTGCCTCATAACCAAACAAGGACTCCATAGTTGGCCAACACTGCACGATCGTATATAATTTAGATTTAAAAACCTATAAATACAACACTTGAAGTTGAATTTCGTAGGGCCCATTTTAAAATCTGCACATTGACCTTACAATTTTTTACTGAGCACTTTCTAGATACAATAAGAAAAATGCTAAGTGTTTTATATGTGATCAGAATAGATTAACCGCAAAAAAACAAAAACATGCATGAGAAAAATGTGTAGCTAATACAAGTGATAAAGAGGCAGCACGTTTTAAATAACAAAAATACTAATCAAAATAATGAACTTTAAAAAAATCTGAGCAGTGAATAAAATTATTTAAAGTCAGAACATAGTCGACCTAAAATTTTTAATAAAAATTCAAATATGAATACGTTAAGATAAAGTTAAAATAGACAAACGAATCAGTTGAATCAAATAAAAATATTTCTTACTTTTGCACAAGTCGAAAGACTAAAAATCACTTCAGCCGGACTGAAAGGTCATTAATTAAATACTAATCTATTTCAAAAGACAGATTTTCTTTATGTGTGCATAATTAATAAAAACTAAGCTTTTGCTAAAAATCTCTTGCAAATGTTCATAATTATCAGCATCAATGGATTTTCAGTAAAATTCCAATGTTTACTGAAAATATAAAAGGTTGTCTAACTTGTAAATAAAGGGCTTGATTTCTTATGACCGGGAGAAATTAAATCATTAAGCAGAGTTTTGAAAAGTCTGATTTAATACACCGAATGCAGGTTTTGTTGACCAAACATTCATTGAAGGCAATTCTCTAAGCCAACAGAGTGGAATGTTCTTTCTTCTCATCTCTTGGATGGATTGAAAGGGAGACGTTTACAGATATTTGTTTTCTTTAACAGAACTAAAAAGCTTTGGATAATCAAAGATTTGTCCCTCAGACTGAAGCTGTTAAAACATTGTCAATCCCCTGCGTTGGCAGTGCGTACAGGAATCTTCCCAGAAGGCGTATTTTCTGGGAAGAAAATACGCCTTCTAAAGTTATTAAAATGCTTTCTGATTCACATTTTGTGAGATCAAATTTCTTTCTGCCTCCTCCATCTTCACCATCAACCTTTGTTTGGTTGTTGTAATACTGCCAAATATTTTGATTCATTTACCAATTTTTTTTCTATCCCTAAAAGAGATTACATAACCATGCAAAACAAAACAAAACATTTAACTAATGTTGAAACAGAAATGTGGACATAGTTTTTATATGAGGCAGATATAGTGTAAGTGAAGCAGGTCACTTTCCACCACTGTCCCCTGAGAACAAGTTCACAGAACCAGTATGTCTTTTGTTAAGGGTGAAACATTAGCTGTATATCTATGACAATCTGGCAATACAGGTCTGTTTCACAATGATGATGCCCAGAAGAGGAAAAAAAAGGTGATTAGAGCTTACAAACAACAGAAAGACGGATTCTCAGTTTCAACATGAAGATGCATCTTTAGTTACAACGAACAACTTTGTTTCTTCACACGCTATCCAGGATTATCTCTGGATTATTGTCAGATATCGTAAACATGACATTTGAAGCATTGTGCCGGAGTCAAAGTATGGATGGAGGGATGTTAGCATGGATTAGCAGAAATAGCGAAAGCAAAAGTCAACTAAACAAGTAGCATTGCATTTATATTCATCCCCCCTGAGTAAAACTTCTGTAGAATGCGCTTTTTAGGTTTACACAACTAGAAACTGAAATTCTGTCTATTTCTGGCAGCAAAGTCATTTTTGCTGCCAGATCGAATCGAGACAATCTATGAGCTTCAATTATCAACCTTTGCCAGAAATTCTCAAAACATTTAGGTGTGTGTGGACATTGGCTTTATGTTCAGCCTTCTTGTCCTGTTGGACATTGAATCTGTACTCCAAGCTCAAACATTTTGGAACTTAGAACAAGATAACTAACTAACTAACTAACTAACTAACTAACTAACTAACTAACTAACTAACTAACTAACTAACTAACTAACTAACTAACTAACTAACTAACTAACTAACTAACTAACTAACTAACTAACTAACTAACATTAGCCTTCTGGATAGAAGCATTCTGACAGCATGCTGCCAACACCATGCCACATAGTTGGCCAGTGTTCTCAGAGTGATATACAGTGTTATTTTTCAGCCACACTCAGCATTGTTCAAGCAGGCCCTGGCCTGTCTTATGTATTATTTGGTCTTCATGATGAAGTCTGTTCTTCAATTATCTCTAAAAAAAACCCTCCAGACTTCTTAAAGCAATTGTTTGCAATGGAATTTACTGTTTGTACAAGAGTGAAGGGGCTGAATACATAGAGGACACATCTATCAAATATTTATATTAAAAAAAAAAACATCAAGGCATGCAAATAAGTTTTTAATGCACTGTACATAAAAGACATGTAACAAACCTTTTCTGCTCTGCTGGATGACTGAAGGAGGAGGCGTAGACACCTTCATAGCCAGACCGTAAGCCCCTTTGAAGGAGTGGCTGTCCCTAACTATGAAGCAGCCAGGCTCCTTCTCCTTCAAAACTGAAATAGCTAAAATAATACAAAGAAACTGTGTTTGAGCCTTACAAGTTTTTGTTTATTCAATTAAGTAAAATATTCTAAACCCATTCAGAATAAAGCATACCAACCTTGATCTCTTGAAATATCTGGTTTATACCAGAATTTTGACGTGTCCTGAACAAACTTTACCGTCACCTGCTTGCTGACCAGTACATCTGGAATAAAAATAATAACAGAAGTACTGAGTTAAAGCTCACAAACTAAGTCATCAGAAAAAAAAACAAAAAACAAACAAACAAAAAAAAACTAACCTGGGAGAGGTGAGGAAGCAAGTGGTGTCTGAGCTGACAAGTCGGGCAGCACATTAGGGAAAGGAATACTCAGGGAGCTCCCACTGTGGGGACTCGAGAACCCGCTGAGGGCTGGAGATGTAGACTGCAGTGAATGCTCTCCATCTGATACCCTCTTTTTCTCAGGAAGCAGAGGAGGCTGCGTCTGGGGAAACTGTAGCTGATGTTGATTGTCCATTGAAGTTAGAAGATCCCTGTCGATACCCATGTCCAGACAGCCGTGAACTGAGCTGTCTTGCTCGTCAAAGCACTGGGGACTACGGCTGATTGTGTAGCCAGCCAAACAGCTTCGCTGGCTGCTTCGTGGAGAGCTGTGTGCGTTAGGCACAGAATGTGCATGGGGATGGTGTAATGGAGGATGCAAGGGAGAGTGACGGCCATATTCGAGAGACACCGAGGGTGGTGGTGGCTGTCGGACAGATGGGTAGCTACTCAGGGAGGAGTGGTGGGTCAGGACATCATGCTCTGGCCAGGACTGACTTACAGAGGAGCTGGATAAATAAGATATGAAATGAAAAGTTAATGATGGCACAAAAACCTAACATCCTGAGACTAAATTGCTGTGAAACAACTTAGAGTGCCTCACAACTGTATTTATTCTCCTGAGACTTTCTTCCCACTTTATATAGCAACTGTTTACAACTACAAAGATCAATGTATCTTATTTAATGGGACACACCAATGCAAACCAATGCATAATTACGAAATAGAAAAATTCAATGCATGGTTTGCAACATGTTTTCCATAAAAAACAAACAAAACAAACAACAAAAAAAAACAATAAAAAGGGTTGCAGGCATGTGATTTGACCTACTTTTACTCTGATGCCTCAAAATAAAATATAGTACACCTGGTTTCTTATAGAAATCACCCAATTAGTAAATAAAGTGTCCCTATTTAATTGATCCGCAGGATAAATACAGTTGTTCAGTAAATGAATCATGGGTTTGCTATCGTACCGCAGAAAGCAAAAAGCATCATGCAAACCGAGGAACATATCAGACACACCAGGGAGATAGTTGTGGAGAAGCTCAAAAACTGTCAAGTTATAAAACAAACTCATGAGCTTCAAACATCTCGCAGAACACTGTGCTATCTGTCAAGCAGATATGTAGTTGTGGCACTACCTGTCTGTCTGCTGATGATTTCCAGTGATGGAGGTAGAGTATGTTGAATTTAGCATCCTGTGGCAGTTGATGGAGGAATCTGGCAAAGTCTCGAAGGTCACATGATTGATCACAGAATGTCCATGAGGTTCTGCAGAGTTACCAAAAATAAATTAAAGAAAATTATCAAAGCAAAACATAGAAAACAACAACAGCAGCAACAACAACAAAAACTACAGGCAGAACCAAACCGAGGAACTAGTTAATTTGATAGTGCTTTGCATAGTTCTAGAAAAATGTAAAATATAAATAAATGCTAGGACATATGGACAGTAAAAAAAAGTGAAAAACTACAAAAACATTTCAGTAAAAAAAAAAAAAATAAAATAAAATTATATCAAATTCTTCTGATACCATTTAAACCAGGGCTTTTTCCTCAATATATATATATATATATATATATATATATATATATATATATATATATATATATATATATATATATATATATATATATATATATGTATATATATATATATATATATATATATATATATGGTATCAGAACTACCATTTAATTGAACATCAGAACTACTATATATATATATATATATATATATATATATATATATATATATATATATATATATATATATATATATATATATATAGAGGAAAAAGCCCTGGTTTAAATTTGAATTAACAGTAATAAAACTGTCCACAGGCACCAACATTATCTGGTCTATATATACATAAAACCATTCACTGATTATTTCTGCCACAACCCACTTAGTCAACAAAGCAAGTCAAACTAAAGCTGAAAATTTAAAAAAAAAAAAAATCTTACCATAATTATCTGAAACCCTCATTTAAAAAAACCATAATCTGGGCCGCAGCTATATACTAAATCTTATATTTCAACAGAGTGTCTCTCCTTGTGATCTAAAGCTAAAAAGGGTTTTTGTTTTCTCCCTGCTCCCCCTGTGTGAACACAGTCAAACACAGAGACTTTTTCATGAAGGAAGAAAAGTTTTTCTATGCCATGCCTTCTAGTTGGTAACCAAGGAGATGCAGCTAAACTGAATGCAGGGCTGACTGGGGCACAGCAGGGGAACAGATCTGACACCATCCCCACAACCTTTAGAAATACTGTATATCTTGGCGGATGAAGTAAAAAAAGAAGGGACCAAATGCAAAAATGAAAGTAAAAGTTGTGTGATTTCCCAGCACTGAGGTCTAAGCACTAAGACAACAATGTACAAACTTAAAACTCAGCGATATGCATATAATCACAGGGTGTGCCCCTTCTCAGATAAAGACCATAGCTCAACAAAAAAGAAACAATGAAGATATTTATATATAAAAAAAGCCCTATTCCACAAAACAAAACCACACATGCAATCTTCTTGGGACAGAAAATTGTTTTGGGAATCTCCCTTTGTCTGTTGTACAAACAGTATCTGTTTTACCATTCACTGATAACAACAATGTCAGTATTATTTACAGCATCATGGGTGAGTCCAGATAGTTTGTTTTCCTGCTTCAATCACAGGCACAGGTCAGACATGAAAGACAACTCGAGGTTGAGAGAGAGAGCCAGAAAAAAGGTCATAACTAACTCACACACAGAGACTTTTAAGAAGAAAGGTTTTCTTCCTAAACTGATAAACCTCCAGATATTAATAAAGAATCATGAATGAATAACAGTGATTCTCCTTACAAAATCTTCACTTGGAGTTAAATTTTCCCATTACATGTTTCCCCTTTCCTAAAGAATAGTAGTTTTCCAAGTGTGACTTTTTTCAAAGAACATAAGCATGTATTTTACCTAACGTCGATAACTGTTGGTCACCTTCAGCATAAGTCCACATTCATAAAGTCCTTGAGGCTAAAGCTTCAGGCTAGTCCACTGTTTTCCTATAACACCAATACCAAAAACATCATGGAGCTTTACACTATGATTTTAGAAACCTTTCAAATTTTATTGTGTTTGTATTTGGGTCATGTTTAAACAAACCCTGAGGATTATTTACAACGACTTCATACAAAAGTAAATTGTTACAAAAATCCCCCAAAAATGTATTCAGTTATATATAATATGAACATTCAGTTTATATTCCAGACTTCAATTAACAGGCCTGTATCTGTGCAATTTAAAGTCCACAATAACAACATCGACTCTAAACCCTTCAAGTTTTAGGCGAACAGCTGTTCCACTGTATCGCTAATGCTAGATTTTTAAATATGTTATAAAATATGCATATTAACTGAACACATACCAGAGCTGTAAAGTCCAGCAAAAACAAATATTTTTGTTCTTGTCTTTTTTTGCATGTCAGAATCTCAATCAGAATGCATTTCACACAGAACAATCAATGGTGGTGCAGTGTTTCCTCTCCCCATGCCCCATGCAAGACCCTGGGTCCTTTCAGACCTGCGATTAGCAACTTCTGGGTCCAGCTAATTTGCATTTACTAAATGAAGATCCCAAGAGAAACAGCAATCACTTATAACAATTCAACAAAACCTTTGAAAAAAATCTGAATTATCTCTACAGAATAGAAACTTTCTGTACATGCAAACTACCGGACCTACCTTGATTTGGTCCAAAGCCTCTAAATGACTGCATGTTGGGAGATGGAATTTGGCTGAGCTCAGTGAACTCTGACATAGTTTTCACTGGAAATACAAAGATGAGGAGGGTGTGACAGTGTTTACACAGAATGAGAACCCTTATTAATTTCACAGAACATGTTACTTACCGTAAGGTGTTGTTGGTGAGATGGGGAATGCAGGAGTGGGTGGAGGCATGCCCTTCTCAACTCCACCAGTGTTGTCTAGGCCCTGGGTTCTATAACTGGTACTGTGACTTCTGTACAACGTGGGATGCTGCAATAGATGACACATGAAACACATCTTACAACAAAAAAACTACATGCGGCATAAAAACATAATTTGGGAAGAAGCAACTGCTAAACATACTTGAAACTGAGAGACACACTGGGGGTATGTCTGCTGGGCTTTGTACTCCTCTGGGTCACCCCACCCTGAGTTACAAAAGTCTGAGTGATGATCCATTACATCCTGCCTTTGGCAACTCAAACTCCGTGTGATGCCACTTCGCACATCATTGGACTGGGCAACTGCATACACACAAGTACACAGTAGCAAAATGTTGATTGAATATCAACACAGCTTTAGGAGCATAACAAACTTCAAGGCAGTAAGTTTTTTTAAAAAAAGTACATAATCAGACATTAAATCAGGCAAAGCATTTCCTTGCTTTTTGAGGTGAATTACGATTCTCAATTATTCATTTTTGATTACATACCAGAAATATGAAAAATAAAATACAAGGATTTTTTAAATCATTATTATGAGAATCAGACTTCTACATACAATAAGAATACTGTGCTTTTTAAAAAAAATTGTGAAAGCCCAAGAAAATATGGCATGGCTAAGTCATAACATGTGGATGTATTTTAAGGTGACACCTGAAAGACATTGCTTCCTTATGAGGCGTCATTGAAAAATGAAATCAGCAAAGATATCAAGTAGAACATTGTGGACCCCAACAAGTCTCATTCAGCCTCTCGGGATACAAGTGACTCACATGAGGATTTCCAGTCATTATACCATTCAGAAAGTAGATGGATTTTGTGTTTTAGAGATGATTGTGTTTAGGTGAGAAATGAGCAAATCGACCCCAAAATAAAAGCATACAGCACTTTCTTATGATGGTCAACACACATTAACCATGTTAGACTGAAATGTTTAAAGAAATTTTTAGAATACTTCAGCCTTGGAAAACTTTATTTGGAGCTTTACTGATCCCAATAGAACTGTCTCAAAAAGCAATGCCAACTCTAGGAATGACGCCCAACCACCAGAGGCAGCCAGTGTGGTTACTTGAAAGAAAATGTGCATAAGGGTGTGTTTTTGATGCGCATCTGATGCTTGCAAATTTGCACGCATATAACAGAATCCCATCTGCAAAGTACAGGAGTGACATTATTCTGTTTTCAGGGAGTTTTGCAAGAAGAGGGACAAATATGCTTCACAAAAATAAGACATAAATATGTATTTAAAAGCAACAACGTACAGCAGTGAGGGAGGGTTGCCTCTCCAAATGAGTAACGACCAGGAGCATACCTCCAAATTAGTTGTAAAGTGTCCTGTTATGGAGGATACATAAGGAAACCCTGATATAAGTCTCAATGCACTGAGCTAGAATCACACAAAACTACTAGGAGAACTATGATTCCTGTAATGTTTGAACCCGTCATACGATATAAAAAGTCAATTCTACCAAATACTAAAGAAGCAGGTGTGAACTTCTGAATCAAAATTTAAACAAAATCTTGCTCATCATTGTGGCATTAAGCTATTGAAATAAATTTGGTAATCCTAAGTGACCTGAAAGAGAATACATTAACTCTAACCTACTGTCACACACTGAGGACAAAATGGTTTTTGAGTTAAAACCCAGTCCAATGAGTGTTCTCTATGCTTGTAAGCATCTGGTTTCAACTGTATGTTCCCCAGACAGAAATGTTTAAAAAGTCGATATGAAATAGACTTGTTTTAAGTAAAAGTGGCTTTGGTTGATCAAAAGGTTGTTTTTTTTTTTCAGACGAGAAATCCAACGTGGGCTAAAGGAGAGCAAGGAGTTTGAGTCTGCGTGCGTGTGTGAGTGGGTGTGTGTGACTCCTGTAGGAAGTGTTGACACTCATCACTCGAGTGTTAATTTGAGCCCTCCCAGTGAGGTCTGACCTCTGAGCACTAAAGAATGCTAATGATGAAGAAGTGCTAATGCCTTGGATTGTTATTCATTTTGCCTGGTGCAAACATAAATGGCACCCATAGGAGCGCTTTACATTCATGTTCTTCAGTGATTTGCTTTAACAGCTGCATGATAGAGGTATTGATGTGATATTTTGTAACTGCAATAATTTAACATCCAAAATGAAAGTTGCTCTCCAATTCCAACAAAATCAAGGAGATGGGTAGTAACATATCAAATGGAAGGTTTATTTGACCTTCACTTTCACATTTGAGGAAGTGAAGCTCAAGTTTCAGCTTCTGGTCTCAGAATCAGCTCCACTCAACTCTAGCTGTGCTATTGTCTGAAATGGAGGATGCCAGCCTGTATCTAGCGCAGCTCTTGTGTATGAGTACAGTGCTGGCAAACACAGCAGACTGGGATCACTGGGTTAGATCCCAGCTGGGAAACCATGGCTCAGTGTCTGAATCCAGCCAGAGAATTTATTCTGCTAATCGATGGTGTTTAAATCCTGTAAAGCTGGTTAAAGGATTTTCTCAATGGATTTCACAGAGTTGTATGATAATTTTTAGTTTTTGACACACGGCATAAATACAATATTAACAAGAAGATGGGTACACTCTGCTTATAAAGTTACAAGCATGGTCAGCAACAGTATTTAGGTAGTTTGAGGTGTTTTAACAATTACTAGTTGATACTAAGCTGGCTATTCTCTCCTGATTTCTGCATCAAAAATAAATTTGTGTGTTATGCAGCTGCCATTTATAAGGTTTAACAAAGTTCTCCCTTTGTTAAACCTTCACAGGTGAAATAGAAGCAATTCAGATCAGCAGTGTCTAATAATTCAGACCAGCCTGGCAACTACAACCATGCAACGTTGAAAGTCTGAAAGTCACACGAATCCTTCTATTTCCACAATAGAATGCTCAATTTGAACTGCTAGACCACACCTATACAACAAAAACGTATTGAGCTACTGACATCTGATTGGCTTATTTGCTATTTGTATAAACAAGCACCTGGATTGATAATCCTGATTACAATTCAAAATTGTTCTATTTTACACAATCATAAATAGAATATTAAAAACAATATTTAAGCAGCCACTAATGCAATGTTACATCCCCCTAATTGTGACATAATACATCAAACATTTTATGAAAATGACTTTACAATTTCTGACTGAATAAGAGTGAAGAAAAAAATGATTTTGTATCCTTATAGCATATGTGATAACTTTTCAACAATAGTTTCTAAAGGGAAATTTGAACAGAAGAGTATATGTGGAGACTCCATGATCCAGAGCATAGATAAATGAATGCTAACTTTAATTAAGAGAATACTACAGTGCATGCATCACGACAGAAAAACTAAAAATATTTACCCTCTGGTGCTAGATCTGTACAGTGAGACTGATCCATGCTTGTCACATCGTAGATATCTGTGAGGAGTTTGCACAGAACCTAACACATGTGAAAAGACAAAACTCGCCGCAGTCTGATTGACCTGCAAGATAATAAACAGCTTTGCCAAAATACGACAGAGCTGATAGCTTCAACCTGGGAATTGTGATATCCTAAGAGCTAAAGAAAGTAACTTAAATTAAATCTTGATTGTAAAAAACTAAACATAGCTTAAATGGTTAACTTTAATTTGTCTTCCTGCAGTAAGAAGCCTGGAAGAAGGATAAAACTTTGTAGGAGATTATTTCTAAAAACAACTATAAAAGCTACCGCTTTTCATCTTCCTTCATCTTTCTTTCCAAATGAAGCAGATGAGCTTATTTGCGGCGACAGGCAAGTATTTGGAATCAAATGGAAAAAGGTGCGCCTGCAGGCTCACTTGTTCCTCCTTTGGAAATTCCTAAGGTCTCTACATTGCTCCCCCACTGCCCCTCTCTTCTGCAACTGCAAGCTATGATTCATGAAGCTTCCCAGCTTTCCATGTTTTCTCTGCATGGCTGGGTTTCTGTTTGACTACACCTTCTTCAGTCAACATCCTATTACATTATAACCTGAGCTTAATCTATTACAGAGAGTACAATCTGCACAAGACAGAGATGTAAACTTTACAAACTTTAATAAAAGATAAAATGTTTCTTTAAGTTGGTCTGATAAGGTTTAGCGAGGAGAAAAAGTGAAAAACAAATCTGATCTGTTTATTTTTTTCACAACACTGATGTATCAGATGCATGGGAAACATTGTCCTTCAGTATGGAAGTAACAGGCTGGTATTTAATTCAGATGCAAGTGCTTGCTTACAATGCATAGCTGTTTTTAATACACTAGTAACTATTTGACATGAATATGTAATCTTGTAAGCTAAATATTTAGTCTCTACTATCAAAGTTCGAGAAGTGGAGATGTTCACAAAGACTGATACAAAGCTGTTCTCTCTTTCTTTGTGCACCTTTACTGATCCTGCACTCAGTTAGTTGCACATGCAAGTTAGGACAGAACTCTTTCCTCAGAAAACAAAATATGAAATTCTGGCAGGAACCCTACCATTTCTGTCATGAAAACATGCTGGAAGGGAGGAAGAAGGGAACAAAGATCAATCATCCTTTGATTCCCAAAAAATCTATTCTTATACTCATTTCTTATATCTTTTACTTGAAGAAGACATTTTTAAATTATAAGTAGAAAACTTAGCATTTAATGGCTATGTTACCTGCATAAACCCAAACTAGGTGGAATGGAGGGGAGGGGAAAGTTGAAGGAAGAAAGATTAACAACTGCTGAATGGCCAGAAGATTGAATGAATAATAAATATATTGCTGGACAGAGGGATGAATGGAGATCTTAATAAAAAAATAAAAAAAAACTCAACAGAGGATAAATGCATGGAATTAAGGCTGTTTAAAAGGAAGGATGAACTGTTAATGGATAAGTTCAGCAACATAAGGAATATAAGATGGAAAGATACATAGTAGGTAGTTTGAGGGATGGACAAACATGGATGGACGCTTAGGAAATAGTATGAAGGACTGTGGACAGACAGAGTACACAGACGTCAGATGGATGGAAAGATTAATTAATGGATAGTCGATGAATGAATTAATCAACAGATGAATGAATGTGTGGACAAAGGAATGGATGAATGGACAATGAAAGGATCTAACTTTTAGAAAACATTATAAAAGAAAAAGTCTTCAATATTCTTCCATTTTACCCTTTGCTATTTACCAAAGTTACCAAATAAACCAATTGAACACTATTGGTTTATTTGGTACACTAATTTCCCTGCACACTCATTTCAACCTCAGACTACATAAACCCCATTATTTAACTCCTTTACTTTCATTAAATATTTCATTCAATGACGAGACTCAAGAACACCCAGGCTAACTATCTTACCTGTCTGCGGTGAGTTTTTCAGAGTTGCCGTGTTACAATCGTTGAATCTGACATCAATGCTGTTTAAACTTTTGTTGACTGAGTCGTTGAACTGTGTCCCGTCATCCCTCTTGGTAGACTTGTTGAAGCCTGGTCTAGGCATAAACACGGGATCCAGGTCCATGATCAGCTGATTTAGCTGATCAATGGAGTTATCAATATCCATTGTTAGGGATTTTATCTCGTCATCATGCTTGTTATTGTTGTGGTTATTATTGGTGGTTGGCTGTTCCTTGTGAGGTACTGTGTTCTTTACACTATCCATTTTTGTGTCCCTCATGTGGTTCTGTGGTTGGTTGGCCAGACTTTCTTTGGGTGAACCGCTCCCAGATTTGATCCCAGAATACCTTTCTGTGTCATTTCCATCCTTAGGCATGTAGTTAAACTGCTGTACAGCAACCATCTGTTGCTGCCGAACCCAGGACTGTGTGGAGTAGCTCTCCTGTCTGTAGACATGCTGCTTTGGTGTAGGAGCACTGCTGGGGTTAGAGTTGCTTCTGGACCTCAAAAAGATTCTTCTTTCAATATCATCCATTTGTTGAGGTGCAGAGTGATGAAAGTGGTGCTGGTTGTGATGGTCCTCTGATCCAGGACACTCGAACCCATCTGAAAGAAGGGAGTTTTGGCTACTCTTGTGGCACGAGGACGACAGAGTTCCTAGGCTGTCCAAACTGTGCAGATCATGACCTGTGTTGATTTCATCATCAAGGATGTCCGTCTCTCTCTCTCGGGGTCGGGTGTCTCCATTAAAGTGCAACTGTACTGGAAGTGTCTGTTTCAAGTCCAACTTAGGACCTGGGTCATCCATCTCATCCAGGGAAGGATCCTCGAGACCAAAACCACTGAGGAGCTGCTTCAGCTGGACCTTCTCCTGTGGACTTGGTCCCTGGTTAGCTCTCACAGTGGTGGTGCTGCTACTGCTGCTGGTGGTGGTGGTGGTGGTGGTGACAGGTGTCTGTCTTTCTGCCCACAGAGATGTGCTGGACAGGCCTGAGTCGCTGCTCACAGACAGGGCGTGGTCACTATGGTCAGGGCTAGAGGTGGTGGAGGTTGTGCGGGTCCCTCTTCCCAGCGTGGTGGCTTCTCCAAAGACAGCGCTCCTCTTGCTAGCTGCTTTGTCCTGGTTTAGGCCCTGAGAGCGTGGCGCTGCAAAACAGAAGAGACGCTGCAGCTTCATACAGTCAGCTGGTATGGTCACACGCAGATACAAAACAAACAAGGGACTCACAAAGACAAGACGCCATCAAACGTATACAGTCATATTGTGCAATTGACAGGGACACAACAGGAATCACAGCTCAACTCATAAAATCAACATTTAAAACAGGACATAAAACCAAGTCATCAGAACAGTTCAGGATATCTGAAGTGAGGCTCTGTTAAAAAAAAATGAGACAGTGTTCTGTCTAGCTGGTAGATTGTTGATGCTTTTATTCAACAGAGCCTCAGGAAAAAAGGATGTGGTTTAGAGAAGTGACATAATTTAATTGTTTTGTTTCAATCTGCCATTTAAAGTGGCATAAGTCTTACAATATATTAAGTCAGTATCTGATTGGCTGATCAGCCCCTTGCGACATCTCAGTGTCATGAAGCTTGGTTCTGGTTCTAATCCAGAAGAACCAAGAACCTTTGCTGTGGGGCATTGCACACTAGATTGGATCAGGTTGCTTTAAATATTTGTGTTTGCATAATACACATTGTTGTCAGAATGGCTGGTGCAGAGTCTTAAGTTGTTCAGAAAAAGTGACAGAAAGTAAAGCACAATTTTAAGCACAATTTTAAGCTCTATCGAAAAAAAATCACTTTCACCTTCATCCTTCAGAAATAAGAAGAAGGCTTCATTTGACACATACTATAACAGAGATTGTCTTTTACTATTGGTATGGTTTAATATCAGCTTGCTTATTTCACCACTGCATAAATGGTTTTGTCTGCTTATTACCTTTTAACAGAACCTCATTTCAAAAATCCTAAGCTTTCCCTTTAAAATAATATGTATGGTTAGGGCCCCACGCAAATCTGCATCCCATCTCCAATAGCTTAAGTATAAAGCTCAGCGCAGGCCTGTTCTGCCGGGAGTTTCCAACAAATCCCTCTCCTGACATTCCATTTAGCAAAGCGTAAGCCGGCATTTAACCTCTTCACCTCAGTTCTTGCCATTTTTTTCCTTCATCAGCTCTGACATCCAGCACTGCCCCCCTACCATACACTCCTTCATGGCCACCCATCGACTTCAAGAGGAAAATCTCTTACCTTCACTGTCCTTGTCAGGTTAGAATTTCAGAAATTCAAAGTCTCAGGTGAAGCCAAACATGTGAAGGAGAAAAATCTATGCAGATGCACGAGAACAAACATGGCTCTTAACATATGGATGATAACGGAAGGTAAATCTCGAAAGTTTCATTAAGTTAGCTGGTTTTCTTTTTCTGCTGTGAAGGTGAGAGTATTTGCACTCTACAGAGGAGAGGAGAGGTGGTGTTGGTGGGGGCAGAAAGGGTTTGAAATCTCCATATAAGGGCAAAGGAATGTAAACAAGTGAGGCGGAGCTATTGAGCTGAACAGGGTTGGAGGAAACGAGTAACCTGACCTCTCGCCTCTATTTTACGGGACTACCCCACTGGGGAAAATGAGGAATAGGAGCCAGGCAAAATAGCAATATATGTATGAGAAAGAGATGGGGGTGGGGGAAAAGACAGAGGATGAAAACAACATTCCTGGAGCTCAAGACATATCCACTCTGTAAAAAAGACACTTTGTAATTAAAGGCAAAGATTAACTTCTGCCAGGAGCCCAGAGCTATTTTCATGAAAAATGTCAGGCGAGTTGTTTTTCTCTCAATCTCATGTGTCAGAAGAAGACACATTATCTGCCTTAAAGCACAAAACAGGATAAAAACATGTAAATAAAAAAAAAGCCTTCTTAGAGACCATGAACTGTTTTTATTTTTTTAAACAGCTTTAAGTCATTTTCCTTTCATTGCAAGAAAGCTTGTGAACTGGAGAAGTCACTAATTTCTTCATTCTTCTATTCATTACATTTGCTATTATGGTGCTGTTAGTCCTTTAAAAAATGTCCACCAATTACAGTGCAAAAAGAAGAAAAGCCACAACTCTTCCGTACGTTGCTCTAGCTTTGGGAAGTCTGGTTAGATACGACTATGCAATTACCCAGCCCTCTCTGTTCCGTCTCGTTTATAACCATTTTGCCTTTCCACTAAAAGTGAGAGTCAGAAACATAGTGAAGACAATAATATTTTCTGAATATCCCTAAAATTTCTAATGTGCTTTGTCTATTTGTAGACAATGGAAGTAAAAAGTTTAATTTGGCCAGCAGCATTATTTTATTGTTTTGTAGATGCGTACTACTACACCAACACAGATTTGATGAATGAAGATGCACAAGCTTCACCAGAATCTTGTGATTATACCATTAATCCCAATCAATAGGGTTATTGGAATATTCAACAAAAATATTGCAATTCATTATTTTTCCATTAACTTAAAGTCCTAATCTATGGAGAGATTTGTTCTCATCTTTCTTTGCACAATAGCTTAAGCTCAGACAGACAGAATTGACAGTGTGTGTGAACAGCAATATTCAAGTCTTACCAAAGATTCACAATCGGATTTAGGTCTGGAACTTCCAACACTATTCGCAAATCTTTTTCAGCCTGTTTATCTTCTTGGATTGCATTGCATTTAACTTAATTCATCTTCCTGCCAACCAATGTGTCATTTTTCCTTCCACATTACAATTATGCACCTTTGTGACTTGTCTATCATATAATCCCAACAAAACACATTGAAGTTTGTGCTTGTAACTTTTTATATCACTTGAACCTTTCCATGCTATGTTTAATTTGGAATATTTTTTAGAAGAACTATACGTGTGCTTTTAAAATATGCATTAAATGAACAATGACTTACATATGGGGTATTATGTAAAATCATGGCAGCCATTCAGGGGTGCCTAAATGCTTGCTTATACATAGAGATGCTTATTTCAACAAAAGTTCCTACATGGAGGAGCAGTTTCCAGCCAAGTTTCCACAACTCTGAGCACCCCTCCCCCAGATCCATCAGACTAGCAGCAGCAGCAATTAGCAAACACTTGGTGGAATTGCACATCTGCAGAGCTCATCATATGAACCACTAATCAGTCCATCATTCTTTAAAACGGTTGCAAATGGAATAATGGATGAACATTGTTTGAATGACTTGCTGGAGGTAGAATGTGGGAAAAACCAGGAGATTTGAAAGAGGACAATTTCAAGGCATGAAGTTACAATGTCTAATTTGTTTGAGGTTACATTTAGTTACAGCATTTTTAACAACTGGAGGTATGCGATTGTGCTATAAAGTAGCACTAAGTTCCTGGAAAATACACATTTCCTCCACTTTAAATGAGCACACAACTTGAGAATACTGGGAAAATTTACTTTGAGTATATTTGTCACCTCTGCTTATAATTTGACATGGAGTCAGTTTTAGACTTTTATTCAAAATGCAAGCCTAGTAATTCAGCAAAAACACTAAATTTTATGCAATGCATGATCCTATCATATCACTTCTTTGAAGCAATTAAACTAACCATGAAGGGAACCTCTAAAGACACATTCGACTTCCAGAAATATCTCTTTCAGCTATTTAGATTTCAGTTCTGAGCCAATTTTTATTTTCTGTATGCATCTAATGAGGTGACTTATCTTGTCAGCAAGGTTGTATGGAGAATAAAAAAAATTGTAAGACTTTTATATATGCATTATAATTAATTCAACTTTTAATCAAATCTCATTCCATGCATAAAAGACAGTGACAAATTAGAGACAAGGTCCATGGTGACACTAAGCAAAGACTGCCAACCAGTTTAAAAATAAACTAAACTAAACAACAATCATCTTAATTCTCACTTTGCAGCAAACACTCTTCTACCAATTAAAATAGAGACACTGAGGTAAATAACGTTTTCTTCTCACAACCTTATCACTAAGGTGTCAAACAGCTTCCAGACTTCCTCCTCCAGAGACGTCACTGGGTGACAGTGTCTTTGAAGCAAACTGGTTCAGGGTGAGCTTTTCTGGTAAGTAGATGCAGAATTTCAGCAAAGTTTTCCATCCTTCCTCTCATATGTTTGAGTTTACATGCGAAAACAAAGCTGTAAATATCCCACATGAATGCTGTGGAATCAAGGCAGTTAGGGTATAGAAAAGCTCTTTAGTTGATGCCTCTCCTTTCCTTTGATGATTTCTTAAATTTGTGTGGTTTTCTTTTCATTGCAATCCCAGAAGCTGGCATTAAAACTTTGTGTGGATGTGTTTGTTTTTGTTTTGTTTTGTTTATTTAAATGAAAGTAAAAAAATAAAAAGGCAGACTGTTTTCATCAAGTCAAACTTGGCTCATAAAAACACTCAATGAACACTGGGAAAGGGTGGATTTGGGTTTTAATGTTACTACCACGTAGCTCTATTCTGAGAGGTTGTTGTGAATGCTGTGGTTCAGTGGAGAGCGACAACCACAGCGAGGACAAGACGCTCCGACAGGGTGGTTCTCTAAGTACATATGTGTATATAAATATATGTACACATATATGCATGTGGGTGTCCATGAGTGAGAATTTGTATATGTGTGGGATCCCTATTAACTTCAAGAGTCAACAAAGAAGAAATCTCTAGAGAACCCTCTCCTCTTCCTCTGAACCCAGCATTCCCAAAGTGAAACAACACTGCTTTCCACAAAAACAACACTTCTTGCCATTCTCATCATACTGCATGCCAAGGTAGCATTTTGGCCACTTTCCTTTCTCACCACTTTAAAAGGGTTACATAAACCACGTTAGTGTTAATAGTGTGAGAAGTTATTACTAAATAGCTTGGGTTATCGTAACTAAAATGCTATATTTGGGGGAAAAGGAGGGTTAGTGTGACTGTTTATGCAAAACAGTACCTTACTGTACTTTGAAATAGCAGCTGTGTGTCCGGCTAGATTCATAAAATGTCCAATAATGTTTGAGTTCAGTAGGTGAATAATCAGTGTAAACCTTAGAGACAAGATGACGTCTTTTGAGTAAAATTACATCTAAAGCAGCATAGCGTCTTTACCTTCACCATCACAGATGTTCTTGTACGAGTCCCAGCGAGTCAGAGGATCTGCTGTGTTGTAATCCACAATGACATCGGGTCCATTTTGCCACCTGTCAGCACCTGAAAACAAAATTCACACTCTTGAAGAACTTAAAAAGCTATGTAATATGTATTACAGACACACCTCACGTAAATGCAAAATTCAAAAGCCAGTGAATATCAATAACAAATTATGGAAATTAAATTAAAATACAATAAATAAATAAAATAAAAAAATGTAACAAGGAAATAGGATTTGTTTACCAGCATCCTAAAGTTCAAAAGTTGGAATTTCCAAGTTTTGGTTGGAGAAAGAACCTTAAACTCAGGGATCCTATGTCAACCCACACACATCCTCCTTTGAGTTCAGATTAAGATTATGTCAGGTCCCTGGCTCTGATGCTACTACCCTTTAAACTGTGAAAGTTTTAAAGGCTGTCAATCCTTCTACATGGTACTGTGTTGAAATATATCAAATGGAGAGAAACATGTTGTTTTTGGGCATGTTTTACAAATAGTAGTGCTACAAGACTAGTGCTAATGTTGTAAACTTCCAATTAGAACAGTTGGGTTCTGTTTTATCATCACAACAGTGAAAGAAAATAAAAAGTGCCAACAGTAAAAACAGAAAGGATGAGTGATTTTTTTTTATTGCACTGCTAATTTAATTTAATCATTCTTACTATACTTTCTCTTCACAAAGTAAAATAAATGTTTATCTGAAAGGGTCTTTTTTTTCTATTTCCACCAAACTAAATTCAGTGAAAACTTCTATCAAAAGTAACTTTCTGTGCAACTCCAGCATGTGAAGATTGTCATATTAACAAAATAGGCACAAGGGGATACATAACACAGTGACAGACACAGAGCCACATAGTTTCTTTCCAGTTGGGTTCGGAGGAGAGCACATACTGTGTTTCTTTACCTCTGTCAGCACACACTTCACACTACATTTCCCCACTGTGGCATTCCACATCCCCTCTCACCAGGGGAGCAGAGCGAGGAGGACGGAAGGGAATATTAAGAGGGCACTATATCTATTTTTCTAATTAATCAATCTTGTGTTTGCTTACTAAAGAAAAGTGCACAACCAAAACTTACCCGGAATTCTTTCTGGTCCTTCAGAAAAGATAAGTTCAACCTTGCCATAATCTGGAAATCTGGGATCTATAATGACAGCAAACACAGGAATGATGTAACTGTTTGGCATTCAGAATTGTAAAATGCACTCGGTTTCTATTCTTCTACTGTCTTCCTTTCACAACACAAGGAAAATTGCCAGTAAAATCTGTGTCCAGTCCGATTTTAGTGCGGACGTTATGAAGCAGGAGAGCTGCTGTTTACAGGTCGAGGCCTGTTCTCAGAGGTTTTTTTTCTTTTTTTTTTTTGAAGGAGTACCTTTGTTGGCATTCTCCATGTCCTCCTTTTCAAATATCAGGTTGTAACCCTGTACTGCTCCCGTGTGGAATTGCAGCCGGAAAATCACCTCACGTTCTGACGTTACATCACTTTTGTGATAGCATTTAATCTACAAAAAGAAAGCAAGAAATTAAAATGACCACAGCAGTCTGTATTAAAGCTGCTCTCCTTGTGAGCATGTCTTGTTTTTTTTTTATTTTTTTTTCCTACCATGATGTCCCCTTTCAGGAGCTGGGCAGGCTCCAGATTGATACACACGCGATCCCTGTGATTTGAGCCAATGTGACTTGAACAAAAACAACAGACAGTACAGTCAAAGGGAGCTGGTATGGAGAAGCTGTTACTTAAATTGAATTAAAATTAGCATGAAATTAATTTGACCAACTTACTAGATTCCAGAGGAGTACACTGCTTGCATTCCTTGGTAGACTTTGATGTATGGGCAACACACTAAACAAAACAAAAGGAAAACAAAGAAAACCTGCAATTAATGTTTTTTTTTTCCAAGGTGGTTTGATAACATGACCTTGGCATTATTTTGCTGAGGCCTGAAGTGTGATAAGCTGTTGTTGTGGGAGAAGGATTTTAGCTCCAAGATGTGATGACGACTTCTTGTTGGTTCAATGAAATGAGCAAAAACAGTAATTTCCACCTAAGCACCTCAAAATGAAAGAATTCCCTGTGCTCTGTGGTGAACAGTGAATTTAGGAGAGGATTACGTTTTTTTACACAACGTCCAAGTGCCTGAGCATGCAAGTGTGTTTGAAAAAAAAAAAGGCATAGGAATATAGTTCGAATAAGACTCTGATGTGATTATGTTTAACCTTTTCATTGTAATTTCCCTGACTCTGGTGGGTGGATACTTTGATAAAGCAGTATGACTTTAACCTCTGCTGGCAGTCTCAAAGTTTGGGATCCCATGGAGGACGACACAGTGCAGGAACAAAGGTGAGGCATTGATCTTCATGGACCCACTTAGTAAACTGTTGAGGATCCAAACATACCTAAGGGGGATGAAAAAGTGTAGAAATTAACATTTTGCAAGACTATTATGATTTTTCCCACAACAGAAAACATGTTGAATCATGCAGCAGAGATTAGAAGGAATGCATATTAAACAGGGTTCCAATAAATAACCCACTTATCCTTAATTACTCCCAGAGTAATTTAACTTTTAATAAATGTGTTTAATAGATGTTCACTAACTTTGCAGACATCTGGTTCAGATGCGTCACTAAAAGTTGTCAGATGTCTCATCTTGGACCAGAATTTATTTACAAAGCGCTTTATGTGTAAATGTGATCCCTGTAAAGAAGAGTGATAGAGGTAGTACGTTTCCTGTACTACCTCTATAACTATTTACCAACATTTCTCCCTCAGTAATAAAGGAGAATGAAATTATTTGATGATGGATGATGCTTTTAAAGAAATGCTGGGAGGTCTTAGTTTTTATCCATTTCATGTATACCAATTTTCTTTTCCTTTTTTTCTCTATTTTTTGACCAACAGAGAAATTTAATCTCTGGTGCACATCTACCTGTTCTATATAGTTTAACACATTTGAATAGTTTGCTGTGTCACCTGATAATATCTGTCACACAATGAGGTGGTTAACAGTGCAGAATAACATTTATATACCCACAGTTGATTTAGCCATATTGAACTATTAATACAAACTTTGGCCATAACTGTTAAAATGAATCCTGCTTATAATAGTTTTCTTAGAATAATAATAATAATTAAAAAAAAGTTTGCTCCTAAACCTAGAAGAACGTTAATTGTTATGTACTACAATTGTTTAGATGAATGTGATAGCTGGTAGATCAGTCTGTAATCAAATATTAAAGTTTTTGTAATTTTATTTTATTTTTGTTAAATCAATAAAGACCTTATTATCTTCAGCATAAAAGCTGATATATTTGGTAACAAACAATCAATAACTGATGGCATATTTCTTTCTAAGTTATAATTTGCCGCAGAGTAAGAAGAGATTAGCACTATTAGTTAATTGTTGAATTAAAGTGGTCATTTTTGGAGAAGAAAACATTTTTCAAAATAAGTTTGAAATATAGTATAGAAAATTTCATTCACAACCTCCACAGATGAAAAATATCTTGTCAGATGTCTGATCTTGGACCAGAATTTATTTACAAGTTTTGACAGACATTCATGGGCAAGATAGGTAAACAAAACACTTCAGCACATCACTGTTGACAATAATGAATCACAAAATGTTTGAATTTCATCAGGCCATTACGAGATCTTTTTCTTATTTTAACAATGGATGCCCTTCTGCTAAAAGATATTAACTGTATGCTAAACCTGAATGTTTGGAGGGAGATGCACATTCGGTCAAACAATACATGTGTACCCTTCCATGCCTCTGAATGGAAGGGTACAGCTCTGTTATGGGTCTTACCGCTTCTGTGAAGGTGTCATCAGAGCTGAGACCTTGTCATCGTAGTATTTCCTCATGGCAAAGCGGTCCAATGCTTGATCAGCACTTTGAGAGAGACAGAACGACGCACTAAACACTTTAGGTAATTATGACTCAAGAGAGACATTACACTCTGGACTATAATAGTGTTAACCCAAACTTGCTTCAGTTAGAGCAAAGCAGACATTTACACACACTCATGTCTGAAAACAGGGAAAGTAAGTTGAGAGACAGAAGATTCCAGGAGAGAGGAAGAGAATCAGCCTTAAGTAAACACAGAGGGACAGAGAGAGGCCCGAGTGTGTGCACAGCTTGGTTTATTCAGACAGACCTAAAGCTAATATGTCCCGCCGCATTTTAACCAGACCTCTGCTTCCCTTCCTCTGCTCCCTCTTAATTTGTTTCATTCCCTTCTCTCTCTCTTCTCTTTCTCTGCTTTTCATTTTTGTTCTGACATCTACATTTAGACCAGCGAGCTACACTCTCTCTCAGTTGGGCAAAAGCTCAAATTAGAAACCTGCTTCGTCAAATGGTGACCTGTGCTCAAGCAACAGTGCCGTTTAAAAAAGTATATACCTCCAGGATTTTGTGATTTATAAAAGTAATTGAAAAATAAATAATTTTGGAAGCTTCAACTCCTTAAATGTAACCTATAAATGACTATTAACTCAATCTGACAAACAAACTAAAATGTTTCTGGAATAGAAACACATATAATGTAAGTAAAAATACCCTCTCATGACTATGATCAGAATTAATAAACGCCAGATTCATCTTTCACCAAGATAATGATCTGAAGAATGCATTCAAATCAATACACTGAGCATAGTTCAGCTAAACCCAACCTGATTTAAATTTCCAGAGAAAATCTGAAGAGAAGTGTGAGCATTAAATGTTGTCACAATCTGATATATGTGGAGCAAAGTACAGAAACAACTGCCAGTATTTGCAATCCTCACTCAGTGCTATAACAGAATAACAATAAACTATAAGCTTTAGAGAGTGGATGAATCACCTTTTTTTATTTTGCATTCATTTCAAGCATGATAGTAGTATAAAATCATGCACAAGAACAAGGAATGCAAAAGACACATATTTTTTTGTACCACAGTAATCTTGACCTTTAGGTTCAGAAAGGATTACTCCTGATCTCATTTATTTTCTTCCTATGTAAAAATCTGTCAATTTTCAAACCAACAGTTTGAAAAAATGACGCTTCAATTTCCTGAAGCATCAATTCTTCTGAAATTGTCTTTACCAGAAATGTCAGTGAGAAATAAAAAAATGGCATTGTTCTTGAGAAATACATCTTTTGAAACCAACACTCTAGCCAGGGGATATAACAGGGTAAACACATGCTTCAGAGCTGATTCATGCAATTCAATCCAGGGTGATTCATGGCTCAAATCATGTGGTTTTCTCTTGATTCTGGAACAGGAACCGTTTGAGTCACTTTTCCAAATCACCTTAAGCCAAAATTAAAGGAAGCAGATAAATTAAATGTGGTCCAGCAATGACATTGGGTTATGGTCAAAACAAAATGAGTCTGCAGAAATTGTTGTGATTCATTGTTCACCGACAGAAAAGCGTGAACGCACATAGGTTATGATGAATCAGGGGAAGGAAAAGAAGACATTTATAGTAACATAACAGAAATCACAACATGAGTTGTGGTTACCTGGCAGACACGTCAGTGAAATGCACAAAGGAGGAAATGACAACACCAATTCGACCCTTGCCACCCTGCGAAAAACAAAATATCACATAGGATGATTCAACACGTGTTTTTTGTTTTACTTTACAGGGTTGCAAATACACCCAAAAATATTTTTATTTGATTTCATTTTTATTTATTTTTTTTTACAAAATGTTCCATCTTGAAAAGCTTTATTAATTCTTTGTACTTCTAAGCTAAATTTAAACATTATTAAAACAGCAAAGAAGTTCTTTGCAGGACTTAGTTAAACCTAATTTTATTACGTTTGCCAACTGTGTCAATTAACCCAGACCCACATCAAAAGAACAATTCAGCATTCTAACTTTAGAGTTCCTGACACTGATGCAAGAATATGATGAAAGATTGTACTGCATTTTGTTTCATTCAAGAAAATGAAACAAAATAACATTTTCCAATATTCAGATGTAGAGTTATGTGAAATAACCATGCTGAAGCAAAACCACAATATTTAAAAGAACAGAAAACTAAACATGTATTTTGGCTGCAAATGTTTTCAGGGCAAGTAAATACAACTTTGTTCATTTACAAAGTCAATGTTGCTGTTTTATTTTTTTATTATGGTATTACACTGCATTATAAAATGTCAAATATTATATATTCAAGATCAGTCTAATGAATTGAAAACATTGTACATAATCTATAATAGATTAGGGTTTTCCATTGACATTTTCACTGATGCCAGTTTTTACATCTCATTGATTTAAAGACCAGTACTTAAAGGTTAAGTTGATTTAAGTTTAGGCGTTACATTCCAAAAAAGGTATTTTTGTTCAGTTGCCGTTCTTATTTGTTAAGAATGAAGGGTACCGAAAAAAATGTGGTGGCGCAAGGGCAAACCACGACCCACATATTGAGGGCCTAGTCCTCGTGGAGGTGGTCGCAGGCTCGATTCCCGGGCTGGCAAAATTTGCTGCCTGGCTTCCCCCTCTCTCATTACCCAGTTTCCTGTCAAACTACTTTCAAATAAAGGCCACTAGAGCCAACAAAATCTCAAAAACAAAAAACTGATCAATTCAGTTGAGAAATTTTTGATTGTGTCAGATCTGAAGTATTCTAACTGTGCAATCCGAAACTGAAAAACACAGGTGATCCTCCATGTTGTGTACACACTTACCCTGCAGTGTATGACGACCACATGTAAAGGGTTGGCATTGAGCCAACTCTCCATGGCTTTACAGATGGTGCAGATCTTATCCAGCGGAGGAGCATGTAGGTCTGGCCAACCGGTGTCCAAAGTCTACAAAATATCACAGTTCATAATTAACACATGCCACTCTTTCCTTTACTTGGCCTGGGATTTCAGAAAATATTATCAAGCAGAAACAGTATACTGTATATCCTTACCTTTGGGTTCATTCTGGTGAGGTCATGTCTTCTCTCTGACAGGTTAATAATCTAAAGAAAACAACAAACCACAGACTAACAACATCTTACTGATTTCTACTTTAATTCCAACTCTTAGCATGAGTAAAGGTGTGATCTGAAATCAATACCTTCATCTCAATATCCAATAAGAACCTATTAGAGCTATTTCAAATCAATGTGACGTGGACTCTCACGTTTGTCTTCTTCGAATTCTTAAGGATAAGACGGAGAATCACCACTCACCAGGTAATTATCCGCATGCTTGGATTTGAGCATTCGTGTGACATCCTTTAGATTAAGCAAGTAGATCTCCTCAGAGCATCCCCGAGGGAAGGAGACGGCGATGATCCGTTCTGTGATATAGGTGAGGTCGAGCTCATATCCCTCCTCCATCTTAAAGCTTTCCTGTTATCCCTTTCAAGAAACATAAAGATTAATTACATAGAAGAACAAAGCACTGCAGTTCTCTCACACACTTCCCATTTAAAGCCGGTGACTTTACTTATGTCAATATTTGATGGTCAAAGTCCCCAGCTTCAGTTATTGTGTCTGACTTTTCCACAGATATCTCTGGAAAAAGACTTCAGCTTCACATTATAAAATAGTGAATGCTCTACACAGCAATGGTCAACAGAATGTGTTGCAAGTACTGTACGGGTTGAAACTAAGCAAGGCCTTTTCTGCACAGGACAGATAATTACAACGTATCTGCAGTGTGAAAAGAGTATTGCAACAATGGTATTAAGGAACAGTGACAAAGTATAAAAAAAAAACAAAAGAGTTCCAGTTGAAACCAGTTGTAAATCCCTCTGTGGCAGTGTGTCCCAGTTACCTCATGGACATGAATTTGCTGCTGTGGTGGTACAGACTCTAAACACTGAGTCACCATTTACCACCCCTCCAAACTCCACACACAGATGTTTTTCTTTCTTATTTACTCATCTCTGTGCAAGCATGCTGTCTGTTAGCTAGAGAAGAAGATATGTTATGGTTCTAACAGACTGTTAGAACTGCTGGAAATAATAACATGAACAGACGATTGAAAATACCATCAAGGAAATAAATGGAAAAAAAAAATCTTACCACAATACTAACCATTAAGCCACAAGTTTCAAACTAACTACGGCTGAAGAGCACAACATTGCTTGAGTTATCACAGAGTGCTATAAACGAACCACTTGGCACTCATGTTAAAGTAAATTTACAACGCTTTTAGAAACTGCTAAATATTAATGAAGATTAAGCGTACCTCTCTGTGCCAATTCATTTCCTCAGTGGCAGAGGAACACAACACCAAGCCCAGGGCTCAGACGCAGGCCTTAAATACTTCAATTGAGAATTTCTGGGATGTGCCAAAACAAGTCCTACCCACAGAGGCCTCATTTATCAACCAACAGGACTCAAAACACTGCACCAGCAACCACAGGATACCCCAAGAGGTCTAAAGTTCATCCCCCTGCAGATTAGTACAATTTGAAACAGACATACTTCACTTATTTACAATTCACTGGGTGCTTTGGAATCCCAGATTCTCCCTTAACTGCAACTCTCATGGTGTTATGTGCTTAAATTATTTAGACAACATATTTTTAATTGATTCAAGTAAACACATACTATAAAACAAAAACAGTGCTGGTAAATAACTTTAAAAATATAAGCATTGCATATGCTACAGTGAAAAGTAATAAAAGGTTAGTTTTATATGTTATAACCTATGTTTTGATTACATAGCTGATTATCCTGGAAAATACAAATCTGACATATACTGTGACTTGAGTTACAATTTTCTAAACCAATGATCAAATCAAATCTTAAGACAAAGACAATCTTAATTTGACGTGATCATCTGGGCTGAAACTGGATCAAGTATTTATAATTCAGTTAAACCTTCTGCAGGATCATTATGCCATTCACACTTTCCAGAACGTTGGGACCATTCATATTATTAATTTACATGTTTTTTTTTTCTATGCCATCGGTTATCACAATGGCATAGTGATAATCAACCAGTGAAAGATTAGTTTGTTTGTAAAAGTACCACTGATTGTACTTGGACATTGTGTAGTTGTAAATACTGAGCAAATTAAACACTGTAAACTGTTCTGGGAGGACAGATAATTGGTATAAATAGCAATGTTTTTGATTTTTTGATTTTTAAAAAAAGCACACTGATATTTCTTTCAATCAAATAAATCAAAAAAAAAAAAAACAGACAATGGATTGAAAACTAGTGTTTGTTGTGCTGTGTTCCGTTTACCCTTGAAGTTAGTGTGTGGATCTGGGAAGGACATCTCTGATAATTATTATGCTGCCTCACCAGCCTAACTAGTACTAGCAACAAAAAATTACAATTCTGACATTAATAATGAAAATATAAAAACTTATCAGCAGATGTAAAAGGTTTACTGGTAGTTTTTACTGTGTTCTGCAAGGTAGCCATATTGGATTTTGAGGCTTCATTTTTGGTGAAGAATATACAGTTACTTTGGCCTAGCTTTTTTTTTTTTTTTTTTTTTTTTTTTAATTATTGATTGACAGTCCATGTTCCAAAATCATTTCCATATGTACTGTGATTACATTTTCTTGAGCTTATATTTAATTAATTAATCTCTTCAAGTTCAATATCATGCTCCTTGAAAGACCCTAAATTGACTGTTAATGTAAATGAGTAAATGATACATAGTAAATAATGCATCCATCAGTTATATGTAAGATGACCCCAGGCTACACAGTCCGTCCCTCTGTGTGGACATAGTGAGGGAGTAATAAATGGGGGACAGTGTAGTCATGGCTTAAACCAACCCGCAGAGTGGAATGAAGTAGGCCGTGTGAAGCGGTCATCTCATCTATAAGGGAAACTGGGCTGTGTTTTTCCACACGCCGGTCCTCGGGGTTTGTTGGGACAAATGACATATTTAAACCACTTCTCATACAATTCTAAAGGAAACCAGCCAACTAATAAGACATTGATGAACTGACCAATAAATATTTACTGAACTTTGCATATCCTTTGAGAGTGGTGAATTTTATCTAATAAACATGTCCTATGTGATCAGGAGGTATAACAGGATGACAGTGATTTAATTTGCTAACATCATGATCAGTACATTTCAACATTTAAAACTGAACAGAGGGTTTTGAAGTTATTGGTAAGAATCTGTTTTGCCGTAGCAAAAGAAACAAATAAATGAAGAAGAAAAACAGCCTTTACTGCTACTCATCGCTAAGCCCAGTAATGCATGAAAACTGGTGGCAGGAATCATGGCATTACCAATACATTGCTAGAGATTCGTTTGCCTACTGACATGATTGGCACAATATACTCACCAGCTACTTTGTTAGGTAGTGACGTTCAACTGCTTATTAACACAACTGCAAAATCATCTAGTCTAATTGATGTAGTTGTTTAGAATATACATTTTCTAAAAATTAGCTCCATCTACACCTTAGGCCTGGCCATGCTGTCAGAGGAGGGATTATGTTATCAACTTTCAGTATAAAGGAGGACGGAGGCAAGTTGTCTGATCTGGTGTACAGACAACTGCTCAATAAAGGCCACCAGAGCCAACAAAACCTTTTAAAGAAAAAAACAAAAAAGGGAAGCCCAGCAGATTTCTTTTCAGAAGTAGAGCATTATGGGTTTCACTATAATGCTCCAACTGAGATCAATCTGTATTTCCATAACAGATTGCTGATATATTAGAAGTTGATTCTTGTCCAGACTATATTGTGCCATTAATCTATTAAAAGAGGCAAAGTGCATTACTTGCAACAAATTTCTCAGGGATTTTTTTACACCTCAAATCTTTCGTAGTTATTCCAGATGGCTATATGTTGGCATGAAAATAGGGCAAACTGTCATTTCAGAAACTCCCACCATGCTGCCATAGGAGTTCATTTCAAAGTGTTTAAAGAATATATGTCATTTTGTGTTGGAGCTAATAAATCATAGGTTCAAAGTCTCATCATATACAGTCAAATGGTGGTTTGCTTTGGATCACTGAGAATAAGTAAATGATTTTTGGCAAAACATTATTTTTTTTTTGTTGAAGCAATCCTTCAAGTGACTAGTATGGGCAGAGATTTCTATCAGACAAAACCATCCTCCTCTTCAAAAAAAAAAAAAAAAGTGGAATGTGGCTTAGTTCTGTGAGATCGTCCACCCTATGGAACATTAATGAAAACAGTAAGCAACTCTGCCTAGTTTACCGCTAAAGACAGAAGCTGGACTATGTTTGGTTACTTGTCCTTGCCAAAGCCAAGGACAAGTAACCTTGTCCTGGTTAAACTGTACAACTGTTTATGAAAGAGTTTCCAAAACCAAAATTATGCAAAGTTGAAAATAACCATTTCCAAGTTCCTTTCAAATGCATTTTCTGCATATAGAGATAGTATATTATATTTACATTAGTCAGCCTAAATAACATGTTTGTTGTTTACAACCATGCCAAAATATTCTTGAGGGGAAACTTAACCAAGTACATGTCAAGCTCTGTATTAATTGTTTGACCTAGTCCAAATCATTTCCAAATGAAGTTCATCCTTGAATTTAATTTCACGTCTTACAGTATTATGGAGGACTGAAGCAATCATCATAATTTTTCCACAGCACTCTCCCCCTTCTGTCACTCATCACTCAGACTTGCTTCAGCACGCACTAAGAGATAATTGGTCTTTAATTTTCCCTGACTGCTTTTGTTTCTTGCTTGAAGCACAGCATTAGCTCACAAAGGCACAGAGTAAGCTGCGGCAAGGTTCTCAAATCCAGAGCCCACCCATGGTACTGAGAACAAGGCTGGCATACAGAGTGTTAGCCAGGCAAGAAGGACTCAAGAGACATGTTGCCAGACCTATGGTGAACAAGCTGAAACAGGTTTCCAAAGGTCAGGATGTTGGGGATTAGGGTGTGTCTGGCTCCCTGCGCTTCAACCACTCTGCAGGTAAGTGCTTGACTAGGCTGTGCTGATGCTGTCAGCCACGTTTACACATGCATGACCAGTACTTGGAAGCTGTTCCAAATGCCTTTCTTCCAATTATCCTGAACAGCACTGAAAATAAATTGAAAACATTCGGTTTCCATGTTAAATGCAAGAAGAGATGTATGGAGTAGCATGTGAGTTAAACATTCCATTTCTGATGCCACAGTTTTTACATGTTAAACCATTATCTCCTAGAATGTAAACCAAGGAGAATTATAGGGTTCCATATGAGATGTATAAAGAAAGAGACAACATTTGGCTTCTCATTATCATGTTCTTATTCCATGTCATAGTTTGTAGTTTTCTACTATAGCAAGTCATTAATTTAGTGAAGTAACTGTGGACATGTTCATCATTCAAATGGAAATTCTAAAATTCCAAAATTTGTTCTGTTTATGTCATGTTTTAGCAAAGCAATCATTACCAAGATTCACT